TCCTCCTCTCGTGAACTTCTAAGTGTTGTCCCAGCTTATCCGCAGTTGTCCAAGAAATACAGCAGGTTTCCCTTACTGTCTGGCATTCCCGAGAGGCTTATTTTGTTGTCCCAGACCCCTCTGATTTAGTAAGCTCTGCTGGAGCCTTCTGAATGTTGTTCGAGCTGCTATCTGGCGCCTCTCAAGTGCCAAACTGCCGTTCAAAACTTCACGTGCTGCTGTTTACACCTCTCTAGTTGCTATCCAGAAGTTTGGAGCCTCTTTCCCTGAGAATCCTGCCCTTCTACCTTACAGAATTGCTGACCCAGGAAGGCCAAATTGCTGTCCTAACTTCAAAGACTAAGGAGGGTGCTGATTTGAAGCTTTCGACTACCGCCTAAGGTCTGATAATGGTAAATTCTTTCCTTAATCTCTTATCTTCCTAGTTATCCTACTATGTGGCTTAATCGATTCATAAGAAGCTTGTTAATTACTCTTCGCTAAAGCTTTAGAATTAGAGAGTTGATTGAGCAAACTCTAACATAGTGACTAATCTTATTGTTAGCATTGAGATTTATTGTTGAAAACCACTCATGCATGCAACGTTAGATTAATTGGTTGTTTTACAGTCTTAACTCCAATGCATGTGATTTAGCCTAAGCTTGTTTTATCGCCTTATTATTTATCTTAGCATTTAAATCGGCATAAGTTTTATTTAAAATTGTTCTTGAAATGTTAAGTGGGCAAATTTCATTAAGTAACTTATCTTCACATCTTTGTTCTACATCATGTCGACTCATACATGCTTAGAAGGATTGGGTTCAAATTTATTGACCCGCGCAGCATCCCTAGACGTCACGTGTGTACCAACTCCATCTCCTTTTCCACACTTTCAAGTTCTGCTATTTTAGGTCTCATGCTTAAGCAAGGGCATACCGAGGCGGTGACTTATGTGAATGCCAAGCGATCTATGAGTATGTCCTGTTAGCCCAATAGGGCAAGATACTCGAAGGAGATTGGGACAAATAGGAACTATGATTCAAGAACTTGGGGCAACTTGTTGACCACATAATGTTTCTTATACAAGTAAATATTTATGTTTATTTTTTAGCTTTCAATTTTTTTAGGATTAACTAAACTACTATTAGTGAATCTACATGTTGATCCAATCTCTATTTCTCTTTTTATCTACTTGTTGACCGCATAATGTTTCTTATACAAGTTCTGATACTATTAGTGAATCCATGATATGCTTAGCCCGGCACAATTACATCCCTTCTAATATGGCCAAAAAATTGGAATATCCTGCAAACCACTTATTAATGCATAAATCATTTATCATGTCAATTATATAAAGCCTTGGACATATAGAATGAAGTCTAGATTATTTCCCTCTCTACATAAAAGTTAATGCAATGGAAACCTAGAAAAGCCTGGCTGATTTATAACTTGGAGTCTTTTTAAAATCTTGTCGACCTAAGGAACCTAAATAGAAGAAGAAACATCCTCCCGTCTAGCCTCCACTGCTCAAAAGTAATTCTCCCATTAATACCAATTGAGGTAAAAAACGCTAATCTTTGGTATTCATATTTGATTGAGAACTCTTTGGTTACTCCATGAATATGTCTAATGTTGATAATTTGTCTACAAGATAGATCTTTGACTAGTTCAGCACACCTTTGGGAGATATGTAATGCATGCCAAATCAATTTATTATGAAACTCAATCATACAAGTTTTAGAAAAAAAAAATCACATCAAGACCATTTCTTTGCTCTCACTACTTTTATAATAACTACAACAAAACAAAAAGGTACCTCCAAATTAGATCTTTCTAGCACAAATCCAAATTAATTTTCCTTCATTAACGTGATTTATCTCAGGCTTTGATCCATTACTCTCACCCATAATTGATTCCCCTATAATTACAACGATTCTCAACATCCCCTTGTGGTAATAGTGGTATCAAAGTCTTTCTAATCCAATCAGTTGATACAATTTTGTAGAATTTCATATATATATATATATATATATATATTGTTGATGTAGGCAAGGAATGGATCAAAACAAGTTGAGTTGAAAATTTTATAAGTTCTACTTGAATCAGCTCATTAATGAGCCTCTTCTTATGTTTCAAGCTCATAAATGCTTTCCTCTACTAGATATCAGCTCATTAAGGTCTAGTAGAGAGCCTTTTTAGCTCATAAATTGAGGTTCATTCTCCCATTTGTTGTCCCTTTGGTTCCCGTGGTTGGTTCCTTGGTTCCCGTGCCTTGGCTCCTTAGTTCCCACGGTTGGCTGCTGGTTTTCCGTGCTGGGTGGCCTTTCTCGTGCCTTGGTGCTTCGGTTCCATGCGGGCCTCCTTGGTTCTTGCGGCTGCCTCTTCGGTTCCTGGCTGGATTGTTTCCCGTGAGTGTATGGGGGCTTTTCCGTGGCTTGATGCTTTGTTTCCTTGAATTGACTGTTGGCTTTTCATATTCCCTATTTAATTAGCTTTTAAATTAATGTTTTGTGGCTATTTGTATTCCCCTCTCATGTCTATAAATAGTAGATGTTTTGGGTTGTTGGGAACATGTTATGTGAATGATTTTTGGAAATGTAAACCTCACGGTTTTGTTGGAAAAGCTTGCGAGCTTTATCCACTTCTTCTTCTCTTCTCCTCTAGGAAATCTTGCGAGCTCTTTCCACCCTTCTTCTCGGCTTCTAATCTCTTTCGTCTCTCCGCAAGTGACCACCTCACCTGTATCCATCTTCTCAAAGTAAACAAGTTTAGGGTGTCTTGTTAGAGTCTTTGTTTGTAAGTCGTTTAATTTTAAGAGTTGTAAGTCTTTATTTATAAAAGTGTTCGTTTATATGAAATGTAAGAGTTTGTTCTAAAATTTCTAAGTTATCTCTTCTTTTTTAGCATTTTGTGTCTTCTTTTATATAGGAAGTTGATTGTGTTTTTGTGATCAAAAATTTGGTTCCCTCGCAAAATTTTTGATTGCATTAATTTGGTATCAGAGCAAGTTAGGAAGTCCTAAGTTTATGAGTCTGTATGTCAAGTAAGTCTTGTGAGTCTTGTGAGTCTTGTAAATCTTGTGTAACTTGATGTCATGTAAGTTTTGTTTGTGAGTTCTAGTGAGTCTTGGTGTGTCATGATAGTTGTGCGTGAGTCTTGTTTTATGTCTTCCTAGGTTTTTGTCTTATGTCTTGTGTCTTTCTAAGTCAAGTTGGAAAGCAAGCAAGAAAGTAATCCAATGGACCTCGCCACAAGAAAGTTCTTTTGACCCGATTCAGATCAAGCTTTTTGAAGATTCAAGAGCAGCTACACTCAAGTGCAAAAAAATTTGAAGCAAAAAAATTCAATAGCTGGATGCACCGTCCTTGCCTCCTCCGAAGAAAGCAAAAGCCAACTCATCGGGAGATGAGTTCTCAATAAGGGGAGTCTGATGTAAGCAAGGAATGGATCAAAACAAGTTGAGTTGAAAATTTTGTAAGTTCTACTTGAATCAGCTCATTAATGAGCCTCTTCTTATGTTTCAAGCTCATAAATGCTTTCCTCTACTAGATATCAGCTCATTAAGGTCTAGTAGAGAGCCTTTTTAGCTCATAAATTGAGGTTCATTCTCCCATTTGTTGTCCCTTTGGTTCCCGTGGTTGGTTCCTTGGTTCCCGTGCCTTGGCTCCTTAGTTCCCACGGTTGGCTGCTGGTTTTCCGTGCTGGGTGGCCTTTCTCGTGCCTTGGTGCTTCGGTTCCATGCGGGCCTCCTTGGTTCTTGCGGCTGCCTCTTCGGTTCCTGGCTGGATTGTTTCCCGTGAGTGTATGGGGGCTTTTCCGTGGCTTGATGCTTTGTTTCCTTGAATTGACTGTTGGCTTTTCATATTCCCTATTTAATTAGCTTTTAAATTAATGTTTTGTGGCTATTTATATTCCCCTCTCATGTCTATAAATAGTAGATGTTTTGGGTTGTTAGGAACATGTTATGTGAATGATTTTTGGAAATGTAAACCTGAGGGTTTTGTTGGAAAAGCTTGCGAGCTTTGTCCACTTTTTCTTCTCTTCTCCTCTAGGAAATCTTGCGAGCTCTTTCCACCCTTCTTCTCGGCTTCTAATCTCTTTCGTCTCTCCGCAAGTGACCACCTCACCTGTATCCATCTTCTCAAAGTAAACAAGTTTAGGGTGTCTTGTTAGAGTCTTTGTTTGTAAGTCGTTTAATTTTAAGAGTTGTAAGTCTTTATTTATAAAAGTGATCGTTTATATGAAATGTAAGAGTTTATTCTAAAATTTCTAAGTTATCTCTTCTTTTTGAGCATTTTGTGTCTTCTTTTATATAGGAAGTTGATTGTGTTTTTGTGATAAAAATTTTAGGTCCCTCCCCAAATTTTTGATTGCATTAATTATTAACCACAAAACACATCTCCCTTGTAGAATAATGTTACAAATTACTCTCTCCAATCATTTCAAACCATTTTAAACTATAGAATTTATTCAAATAATTATTAACCATGCAATTCCAATATGTTCCCTGCTTCGTTCCCTCCCTCCTCGCTCTTTCCATACAAGAAGCCCTCCCTTCAACATTCCCAACCTTCTTTTTGTCCAAGCAACACGGCCTATCTTCTCCTTATGTTTCCTATGAAGCATGGTCACGCTTGGTAAAAAACTTGTAATACAGCAACAAAATTAAAGGTTAGGAAGAACTTAATAAGTGAACAAGAAACAAAACTAGTCATGACATTAATTGGAAGCACTTCCGGTACCTTTCATAATAGAAAGCCTTTTTTTCAAATAAAAAATTCTAAATTTTCCGTTTATTTTGCTTTTGATTTATTTTTTTATTTGGAAAAAAATGCTATGTAATAAGGCACTACTTTTATTTTTAAAAAAGCTATATTTTTTATCTCAACATAAATTTTAATGAAATTTAAATAATAATGTTATTGGAGTTGGTAAAGGCACAAAAAAAGTGAAACATATGTTGCAAGTTTTAACAAGAGACTGACATGGCCCATTCACGTTGTTACATTTAGAAAAATTACCTGATTAAACTCATTCGCACTAAATAATCTCAACCACAAAGGAGCTATGAGATCAGTAAGCCCACTATAAAATGCATTTGCCGGTGGAAGCATCTGAAAATCAGTGAGCAGATGATATAAATATATATTAGACAAAGAAAATACTCAAATGAAATAATGTATTGCATGACATACTTGCCAATTAAGCTTATAATCAGCAATCGCATGGATATATTGTAGCTTGTTCTCATTTGTGACTGCCACATTTCTACCACCGGGTCTAAGTTCTCTGACTATCCTCTTTCCACAAACCTCTTCAGTCACTGTAAAATCTAATGACAAGTCCTCCACATCACCATCATAGTGCTGTTGACAAAATGCATTTTGCACATCCACAGAGCAGTTACAGAAATTAACAGAATCAATTCAATCATGATTTGCAAATTGAATATATTATAAGCCTAAAGATCATCTTTGAGAATTTACAACTTGCACGACATAAAAGAAGTGGAAGCTCATGAAACAATGGAAGTCATAATCAGACGGAACACGAAAGTTTCTAACCCAGCAATTTCTTTGTAGAATGCATCAAATAAAGGCTAATGATGGTGAAAACTAAATTTTGGAATATAATCAACTTTGGCTTGAAATTTAAAATACCATAAATCTTACCTCAGTCCTAAGAAAAAATTTGACAGATTACCATATGACAATAAAGAAGCAAGGATATCTTACATGATGACATATTTGTGCCAAGAATGAGAAAAATAAATCATGCTGTTCCAAAAATACGCAGAAGACCAGTTCAAAAATGCAAAAACTGTAAGAGGCCACCAACGGGATAAAACTATTATCATTACCCTACTCACATTAGCCTATCCCAACAATTTAGATTAAGCATTATTAATCCTTGGAACACTTTATTGTAAGGAGATCTAGAACATTAGGGTACCATAGGCCTCATAGAATGGCATTTTCTGTATTTTACAAGTTTGATAAGGGTGTAAAACTGGACCATCGTAATTCTGTTAAGTGAAGTTGCATTCCACCTAATTAACTTCTTGCACAACAGTCAATGAAAAGAATGAGACCATATTCAAAGAGCAATGATGTCTATCAAACCTTTGACAGAGCATCTGTAGATAGCAATCATCATCATTAGCTTCATCGAACTAATTGGTTTCTTCCCATCCCTTACAAAGTACTTTTCTCTCCCACCTCGATATTGTATATTCTACTTTCTATTGTACATGACCAACCAATCAAGTTTATTTCATATGGTAAAATCTCAAATAGACATCTATTTATTATTATTTAAAAAAAGAAACTTCAAAATCTTCATAATATTATCTATATTACAACTATAACTTGAATTTGCTCTTTTTAACTACCCGACTGTGACTTGATGAAACATATATTTCCGCCACAAATAAAGAAACTTATCATATTAAGATACCGCAAAATCCTCTATCACTCTAGACAAACGGATATTAACTAAATATCCCCTACAATTAAGTATTATGACTACTCAAAATTTACCTTACCAACCATTAGCCCATTCTCTTCTAAAATTTACATCAATTGTGAAAACTTTCACTGATCACAAAAATATTTTCATCTTAAGACTAATGTCATTTAAAATGCATCAAAGTTGCAAAGTTGCTCAATATAAAAACTTTTTATAAGTACATTTATTTAGAATCGCATGCAAACTTAAAATAAAGTTTTAAAATGGGAATAAGCCCAGCTATATAGCATGGACCAAAATTTTGAGCAACAAAAAAATAAATAACAATCAAGTAAAAAGCTTAGAGATGATGAAAATGTTAAGAGTACATGGTAAAGGAAATAGAAAAGTTTGAAATATATGTACTAGAGAAGTATAATAAAGCCTAGTGAGGATGATGTTGCAGAAAATAAAATTACTTGAATTAAACATGTAAAAGGACAGCGCAATAAGATATATAGAAAGAATCCTTATGAAAAGCATGGAACGGAAAAGAAGTAGAACAAACATAATTTATCTGATTGATCGGAGTAAGGATATGCATAAACTCAAGTAAAATCAACATGTAGTGCTCAACATAAGTGAACAATGAACTATTGAAAAGATAGGCATCAAATAACTGACCTAAAAGCTAATAATAATAAAAGTTATAAACACCTCAAATGACTAATATAAATAAAAGATACATAGTTAAACCTAACGATGAAACATTAAAGTAACAAACTCTTCATTAGACAATCCAAAATTAATTCCAATAATAGCCATTTTTGCACTATTAAGATCACCATAAAAAAAAAAAGATCACCATCAACATTTTTAAACTTATCTCAATAATAAAATCAACTATATTTAATTAATTCCTATTTATGCAAAATTTTCACACAGATTGTTAGTTTGAAGCAATGTTACCTTTGTTTTACTACAACGACAACAACATCAAGCCTTTGTCCCACAGCGTGGAGAAATTATTGTGTGCGGACACCAGACATAGCTCTATGTCTGGAGGCAAATCAGAGCGTGTCACGTCACCCAGTACACAACGGGTACACAACCACGGTACACAGCAAGGAAGTGTGTGGCGTGCTCTGATTTGCATCCGAACGGCGTCTGGTGTCCGCACAAAATAATTAATCCACTACATGGGGTCGGCTACATGAATCATTTTTCTCCATTGTGTCCTATTAAAAGTCAATTTCTCGTTTAAATCTAATAAAAAAATATCATTTCTAATATTTTCTAACCAAGTCTTTTTAGGTCTACCTCTATCTTTCTTAATATAAGTCAAATCTAATACCTCTACTTTCCTAACCGGGTCATCGAAAGGTCGTCGTTTTATGTGACCAAATCATCTAAGGTGACTCTCTCTAATCTTATCTTCCATTGGAGCTTCTCCAACCTTTTCACATATATGCTCATTTCGTATCTTATCTCTAAGGGTAAATCCACTCATCTACCAGAGCATCCTCATCTCTGCAACACTTAACTTAGTATTATGCTTCTCTTTTAATGGCCAACATTTTGCACCATAAAGCATTGCAGGTCTCACCACTATCTTATAGAATTTTCCCTTAAGTTTGAGGGTGACTTTTCTATCACATAACAAATCCGATGCATTCTTCCACTTTAACTATCCAACTTGAATTCTACTGATAATATTTCCATCTATGGCTCATGCATACAAGAACTCTCTGTTTGAACTTTATCATATGCTTTCTCTAAATCAATAAAATAAATGTAACATTTATTTTACTCTTGTGCAAAACTATCCTCCCTAAAATTTCCAATTAATAATTTCTTAATTGTGGCATTTCCATCCTACTTGACTTAATAAATTCTTATAACAACCTTTCCATCCTATTGACCACCATTAAACAAAATTCCCTAAATTACAATATTGATAAATAATTCTAAGTTGGCAATTTTTTACAATACTAGTTCCATCTTATTATCTTCATCTATAAATACGACTTTGTAATCTTCATTACTGATAAACACAATCAAAGACCCAAGATCTCCTCCTATCCTGGCAATTTAGAAATATTTTTAATGTAATCTCTTATCTTATTAAAATGAAAATCTTTATTCATAGGTCAAAGTTTTGTTTACGAAAAAGACCAACTTAGATGGAAGCATGGCCAAAATCAACTAGTATATTTTAACACGTCTATAGAATCTTTTTAAACGGAATAAAGAATAAAGAGCAGTATGGTGAAAAGTATTAATTCAAAGAAACTTATTGCTTTAACTTAGGATAAGCCAGCAAGCAATTTGATTAAGGAAATTTTGGAGCACATTAAACAACAAAGGTATGTATCAAACTGAGTTGAAGTTATTAAAGATGTATGATGGAGCACTAACTTGTATTAGTAGTTTTTGAGAACAAATAGTTTCCAATAATAATAGGAATACAGCTAAAATCAAGATTGAGTCCTTTTTTTTTTTTTTGTAATGATTATAAATATGCTCATAAAGAATATTCAAGGAGGTGTGCCAAAGCGTACACTTTCTGCATATGATACTAATCAATAAGACATTTATTGAAATAAGTGAAAAACAAAAAAAAAAAAAAAAAATGCTTGCAAGATGGAAAAAGATGGAAAACTTAAGGTAGTGGAACAAAAAATTGAATACATAAAATGCAATTTTAATGTGCATTATTAACAATTATTAGTCAATAATTATAGAAGATAAAGTGATAAATAACAATGACAGGCCTAAGCATCTTAAATCTATTATATAAAAAAATGGGGATAGAAATGAGGATGCAACTTCTAGAGTTAAGCTCGGGTGATTAAAAGGGACAAGTGCCCCTAGAATTTTATGCAATGAAAAAATGACAAAGAGACTTAACCGTAAAGTTTATAAAATTACAATTAGATCAATTATGCTTCATGGATGAGAGTCTTGGACAATAAAAAATAATTAATAGCTAAGTTGCTCGTATCAAAATTAAAATATTGATACAAATTTGTGAAAAACTGAGGATGATAAATTAGGAATCATTATATGACTGAATTGACATCTATTGAAGATAAAATAGTTTAAAATTAGGCGTAAATTTCTTGAACATATAAAAAAAGAGTAGAAGATGAATATATTAGATGGTTGATAAACTTATTTTCAAAGAGCATAAAAGAAAAAAGGTGGACCTAAGTTAAAATGGATGACGAGTGCTCAAAATAATTAGTGAAGAATAGATTTATCACATCAACTAGCACTCTATAAGAACAAATAGGAAATGAAGATTCATAGAGCTAATCCCAATTAATTGGGATAAGGGTAATGATGATGAAAATAATGATCCAAGTCATGTTATTGGAAATGTTTATCACAATATAAGAACCATGACACATTTGTAAAAATGACAAGTAGGCTTACTGAGAAACTGTAAGCTCTAGAATTAACAAATAAGCATTTATTTATATAAGCTCCCAAAAATTGTACTCTAACTAGCTCCCAAAAATTGTACTCTAACTAGCAGCAGACCTTTGTACATGTAGACAAATGATTATCACAAAGCATAAAGCAGATAGTACATAGCAAACAAAATTTCAGAGATATGAAAACCAGAGAAAATGACCTTCAAATACATAAGGTTCCTGTAGAGCTCAGAATCCAGAGTTGAAAGCTCATCCAAAAAGCTGTATTGCCCTAAGAGCTTCTGTACAAAGACAAGTGAGAAAGAGTAGTCCAGTAAAATACCATCATAAAGAGCTTTTCCAACAACTCTTCCAAGGAATTCTATCATCTCCATTCCATTGTCTAATAATTTAGAAGATATGTTAGGAACTAGATTGCCATCAGCTGTAGAGGTCTGGGAAAACAGCCCGAACCTGTGAGAAGGAAAACTATACATGATATACCGAGCGGCTTAAATAAGAATTTATATCAACTACAGGGAACTCACAGTGGGTCAAAGGCCGCTTTGGATAAATCAGTCAAGAATTCTTTCGACAAACCCCCATAATCAAGACCGGCCTCAGGGAGACCGCATTCACTGATGAATGACACACTGATTCCAGATTTCAGTCTTGGCCCTAAAGAATTCAATTGTCTAAACCCATCCTCAACAATGTGATCCCGTCGAACAACAATTTCAACTGAGCTAAGACCACTAGCAGATACCTCACCAGCTGCTCTTCTAACTACTTTGTCCATTTTAACTAATTCCCTAAACATTTGAACCCTGCAAAATTTCTCATAGTTTAAACTATCAAGAAAAAATTAAAATAATAGATGCACATCACATTAGAGTAAAAGGTAAACAAAGTTATATCGCATTAAGCTAAGCCCTTTGAAAACATTGGCATATACTAACGCAACTCATAATTATATATCGAATGAGGTCCCTATAAACTTTGTAAATAAATTAGTACCCGTTCAACTAACTTAAAGCCATACACATTACAAAAATTAAGAAAATTAGACATTCTTTACAAGTTAGTAACTGCTCTACACAACCACAATATATTTGACACAGCTGCAGAAATGGCAAAATATGCCAACTAAAAAAGCTAGCTCAAATCTCTAATTATGCACCTAATTACAAGAAATTGAAGACTAAACCACCAAGTAGCAATATTATGAATCTCCTAAAAAAAATTAGCAATATTATGAAAGAAACTCAAAAAGTATTAGTGCAATAAGACTAGCTTACATTTTATGAATCTAAGGCAAAGCCTATGTAATAAGTTTAGAATGATCTCAATTTTTATGAAATAGCCATGATGTAAAATGTTATATTCACCATCAACTAGTGGACAAAATACATGCATACAAGTTAGCTTCGAGAATAAAACAACTAAATCCATCCGGTAAGGCATCGATTGCTAATTTGCAGTAAGGCGTTGATTGCTAATTTGCAAAAAGGGGTGGAAAGAGAAAGGAATACATGTTATCATTAGTAGGTTCGTGAAATAAAGTAAAAATGGATAGTTTGAAGTTTGGAATACTACAAAAGCTTACCAAAATTTCAAATTCAGAAATATCAATCCCAATGCCATTGTATGTAAAGATCTTGGAAGTTGGTTAGCATATTAGAAGTTGTTGCCGAGGTGTTAGGTCATAACCTCACCTACATCAAATTTTTGCACTAGCACTCGCATGTCCCAATGCACTCTATGGTTTTATATTGCTAGTTCTTTCTTATAGCTAATTTGTTAAGGGTCATCATAGGATCCAAACATACTAATTTAAATTAAACATATGTCCTATCAGTCAGCAGTGAACTTGTCAACCACTTATGTTGTATTAGGAAATTGCACAAGTTTCCAACCCGTCACTCTTTCATGGATCTTCTAGTAAGTGTATGTGGTGTTACCAAATTGCAGCAATAATCACACCAAAATCATAACTTCAAGGGTTTTTTGTTGACGTAAAGTTGTCGTTAGGGACCACAAAGAGCTAGGCAGCACCCTTCTCCAATGGATGAGGAAATTGAGAGTTCCATCAACAATTTTTAGCAACTATCCTCCAAGCGAACCTTTAAAAAACTTCTTGAACAATGTGTAGTGACATTGTTACTAGAACTTTCTCATACATTCCATCAAAGATCCATGTTTAAACAACCATTTGTTCACAATGATTTGATTGTATAGTCTTTCATCTTCAAGACACTCCCACCCATGCACTTCAAATAGATCAAGTTGTTGGCAATAGCGTCAAAGGATATTGTATTCCTACGTAATAAAGGATTCTACCTACTAAAGTTCTTGAAGAGTCCTTTTGATAGAAATAATATAGATGTGTTTTCAAAACTAGAATAATTTTTTATGGTTGCATTTCAAATTTCATATTTCATGTCATAGAGAAAAATAATAACTCTCTTATTTCTTTTGTAGTTGAATTAATGAGACATGATGTTACCATTTGATTTTGAAGTCTAAAGTCTAGATCTTATGTCTTCAAGGTTGTAACTCCATTGAATCAATCATCTTTACTCTTCTACTAGATATACATCATTACAATTGGGGCCATTGGAAATAATTGTGGCCATTTAGTTTGGGGCCAATGATGGAAGGATGAACAAGGGTCTCTTAACTAGATGCATTGTCTTAACTGGAGATATCTTTCGATAGTTATGTTGTATTTGCTCATATAAGAGAAAGCAATGCACTCAATCAAAGGAAAGAGAAAGGTTGTCAATAATTATTGCCTATGTTGCACGGATACGCCTATTTATGAGGCATGCTGTATCGGACACGTGTCGGATACGGATACGGATACGCCTCTGATACGGCACGGATATGTGTCGGATACGGCTTTGCCGTGTCCGATTAAAATATTATTTAAATTTGATCGGACATGCGTATCACTTGGTACTCGGTACTGCTCAGTACTCAGTATTGCTCGGTACTGTTCAGTACCGCTCAGTACCGAGCGATACTAGAACTCAGTACTGCTCGGTACTCGATACCGCTCGGTACTGCTCGGTACCGAGCGATACTAGAACTCAGTACTGCTCGGTACCGAAACTCGGTATCACTCGGATACCGCTCGGTACTGCTCGGTACCACTCGGTACCGCTCGGTACCGCTCGGTACTGCTCGGTACCACTCGGTACAGAGGGGTATCGAATGGTACCAAGCAGTTCCGAGAAGGTAGAGAAAACTTTAAAGCAACTCTTACAATAAAATTTGTTCCGGGGGCGCTGCCCCTGGAAACACCCGCAGGGGCGCTGCCCCTTATCCCCGCGACCTGACCGGGCAGGTCGAACCCCGCCAGGGGGCAACGCCCCCTTGGACCCCCGGCATAGGCGCAACATATCTATACTTTTTATTAAAAAATTTCATGTTTCAAATTCATGTGGATTAATTGTGTCGATCATTCTTACTTTTAATTAAAAACTCCATCTGCAGGACAATTTATGTTTTTGTTTTTGTTATTGTACTAGACATTTAAATATTTAATGCTTACTTTTATTTTAATATTATAAGATACAATGCTACAAATGTTGTTGCTTTCTCTTTTTTTTGTCTTTTCAAATATTATGCTTTGATTAATTTGTTATTTTTAATGTATGATTAATATATTATAATGATGTATCTGCGTCGTATCCGTATCCTGTATTTTTAAGAATTGTCGTGTCCCGTATCCGTATCGTGTAATATCCGTGTCGCCGTATCCGTATCGGTGCAACATAGATTATTGCAGAAAGAAGACTACAATAGAACAAAGATCTAGCCAAGTCTATGAAGCGAATTATAATGAATAGTCAAAAGAATGAGTGTCTATGTTGAAGGCAGTAAAGGCAAGCTACATCATCGAGAGACATAAGTCATAATAATGTTGAATCGCAACAATGAGAAACAAAGAGAGTCAAAGGCATTGAAGGCTTGTCACAAGAAGGCCTAATACTCTAATATAATAGGGTTGAGACATTATTTATAGAGGAAAGAACAAATTTTTCCTTCTTCTTATAACAAAAAATTAAATCATCTAAAATTGGAAATAAATAAAAAAATAACAAGGAACTAAGTGCAACCCATCAAGAACCACAAAATAAAAACCCAAATACCCATCAATCTATGTGTGCTCTTATTCAAATTTCAACACATATACCAATGACTATTCATGATGAAGATCAAATCAAATGCCTAACATCATATCATAGCGCTCAAATGGTCTTAATGAATGGAGTATATAATGTTGCCTCAAAAACATGGCAGTGTATTGAATCATACTAATCTATAAACTAGCACCATGATTTTTCAAATGATCGAACAAGAACAGCATTAACGTCTTCCGCCTCATTGAGTGGTCAATTTATGAAATACAAGATCGTACATAGTTATTGTATGGCCTTCGAAATTACACAATATATGTTTAAAAAGTAATTCTAGAATATTTTAGTATTATGAATTTGTTTAGTATTTCTTTCAATGATTTCACTTAATTATTGGGATTATATTATAAAACTTTAGTACTTAGGTTTAACTTTTAATTTAATTTGGATTTATCTTGTAACCTTATTTCTAAAAAAAGGGTTTAAATGGTTATAATTAAATTGTGAATTGCAATTGAGATATTACCCCTCTATTCTTTATCTCTTTTATCTCTTTTCATTTCATTCTATCTCTTCCCTGATTTATCCCTCCACGAGTAAGCTTCCTCATGAGACTTTCCTCTCTCCATTGATATTTCTTAGGATTCTTTTGCCAATCGGAAATTGGTATCCCCAATTCCTCCCTCCGCTAACACACCTCCCAAGGCAGTCGAATCTCTTTACCTCTCCTAAATGACAACCTATCTCACAAAGGCAATCAATTTTTAAGGCACTTTGAAAGAAGAAGAAGAAGAATAAAGATCAAGCAAGGTTATCATAAGCAAATGCACATCAGCAAATTGAAATCAAAATTTATGCTCCGAGGTCAATTTGATATTTAGATCATCCATCCTCTCCAATAAAGTTACCCAAGCACCGTTCACCAAATAGGAATTGATCTAATTACTCCTCATGTTCCAAATTAATTGATAATTCAATAAATATAACATTGATAAAATATATTAAATTGGGTGAAGTAGAGAATTCCTAATCAAGGGAGATAAGTCTAGCTAAAACTCTATGTCAAACGAAATAGCACCTTGCTCTCTAGGACTCCAAAAAGATATTTTAGAAATATTAATGGGCATTAACATAAAGGAAAAATGACGTAAAATATGAAAACATAACATTTTATTGTTTTTTTTTTAATTATATAATGTAGATTCTAAATCTTCTTTCATCATTAAGGCCAAAAATCAGTGTCTTCCTTTACTACTATTCATCTTCATCTGAAAAGTATTTTTTCTATTTTTTTGGATCACAATATTTTATTGCCCATCTTCAAAATTGTAAAATTTAGTCAGTGACCATTAACTCTGTACTTATTGAAGTAGTCTTATCATGTTATTATCATACTTGGCCTAATCTGTGTACATGTAATGAATTATCAAATTATTGTGGAAAATATAATATAAAAAAAGTAATCATCAATTTTATGTAAAATGAACACTATTTTAAAGTATTATTTGGGAATTCTAGCGCTGGTATCAAGCAATCTGGAAGAGCTTTCTCATAAATTACATTATATACATCTATGGCTTTTCATATTTACTCTAGATTATAAGTTACAATCTACGGTAGAGAAATCCTTCATCAAGGTTACAATCAAAAATTATACTAAAAAGTAGAAAGTAGCATCTTACTTGAAAAAGGCAGATGCCTCTCCCAAGGTGCTTTTGGATCTTAGCACAATGATGGTACTTTATCGCTAATATGTCTGTATAAAGAAACATAATACTTGTATTTATTAAGCAAATGATGGATGACATCTTAAAAAATAGTTGAATAGTTTTACCTTTCCTCAAATGGAAAAACATGCGGAACAGTAGTTAAGACAGAGCTCATGCTCGGAATATTTGAAGCGTCCCCAAGCTGCAAATTTGAACGGGCAGCTTCATGAGCTCTGGCAGCTGCAGCTATTGGGATGCGACCTCTGCCGGTTGGTGCTACCCACAGAGAAGATGGACAAAACTTGTGCCTACAATCTCGTTCATACAAAAAATGTAAACACTTAACAGCCGCATCTACAACAGGCTTCCTGTTTTGTACAGTATTGTGAATAAGAGAATTATACACAAATGTGTTGAGTACTGAGGCAATCTTCTGCTGCTGCTGAAGAGTAAAGGGAACCTAGCTCAAACAAAAAATAAAAAATAAAATAAAAAATAAAAAGACAGCAGGAGCGCAAGAGAAAGATCAGAGTCCATCAGAATGTTTCATCTAGTTAAAATGCATTCATCACCATACCTGCTTCTCATAGAACTCAATGTCATCTAGGATCAAAAGTAAGTGTGCATATATAGCACAAAACAGATGCAAAATGCATGATACATCATTTGAAATGCCATGGGAACCCCTCTTCATGCCTTCAATATCCCATGAATTAGGTCCATCCTGACTAGCTTGACTCGTTTGGGAAGTATCATCTACTAGATTAATATTCAAATCCGTAGATTTCCCCGCAATTTTTTGAAATAGGGTAAGCAACTTGCTTCCAGTATCCTTCGCACCCAGTTTTTGCTTTTTATCCCCACCTGTGCTGTTGCAACCACCAAAATTAGCATCATTTAAAGTATCTTCAAGGAGAGTGCAGCCATTTCCATGAAAAATGGAATCTTCTAAGGTTTCCCACAACTGTGTTATAAACCCAGGAGAGAAGGAAAGAACATTAAGAATAGGCAGTGACCCTCCAATAGGGTTTAAAGATGAGAATATTCTGAGCAAAAAGTTGTAAAAATAAACGATATCTATTAATCTTAAGTTTCCAATGCCTTTAGTGCCCTGATTTGACACACAAGAATCTTTTTGTTGGATTAGTTTACTTTTCTCTAACAAGGACAGAAGCTTCCTTAAATGCCACTGCTGATGTACAGGACTTAGAAGGTCAGCATATGCCAGTTTTCGCCCATTGCATTTCACGGAACTATTATCCTGTGCAGAAGGGTCGTCCATCTCAGCATACCCATGCTCCTTTCCGGTCAGTATCCCAACATTCCCAAGACAGTCTAAAAGGTTCTCAGAAATAGAATTTATGACTTGAACATATAATGTACAGTCTAGACCTTGAATGAAGTGCCCAGAGTCAACAGAATCGCTGCTACGCTCAGTTACAAGGTCTATAATATTGGCAAGAGCCCAGCCACAAGATGGAACTAATTCACCGGTAAATTGTAAAATTTCTGAATGTTCAAATTTTGACATCTCATCAAATACAATATCCTTGGAAACCTGCCACCACCTGCCATAATTGATTAGCTCATAGACTTCAAGTTGAGCCTATGACAACAGCATATAGCAAGAGGGAGATCTAAAAATCAAACAATTTCATAAAGGAGCATAGAAGTGCTTAGTCTGCCTAGAAAAGATGAGACAACCTTAATAAGCAATAAATAACTAGTTTTAAAAGGTTTCCTTAAAACCAATAAGACCATTACAAATTCAAATTTACAGAAACAAAACTGCAGAGAAACATAAAGAAGTGTAACATAAAAAAAGGAGAGTGATGAAAAGTAATAGCACCTACAAAATTAGCATATTTCTTTTTCTCATAGAGAACAAATAAAAAACTTCACCAAAAAGACGAGCTAAAGGTTCAAACAACACACCAGGTTAAAAAAGGGTTCAGAATTGCACAATATCAGATTCTTCGTTCTCCATTCATTAACGTGTCATGGGAGCCATAAAAATCAAAACCCATTATATAGAAAAATAAAGGCAGAGATTGCATCTCTTTCCATCAAATAATAAGTGAAATTATGAATAATAAAAGGCGAATATTAAATAAGAGAAAACGAGCTTACCAATAGAGCATTTAAACATGGACAAATTACAGACAAATGCTTTACAGCAGGAACAAGGAGATTTGGCAGCCTTCTAGTGAGATATGGAACTGTCAGTATGAATATAGAGTATTGTTGAAAGGATGCTTTCAGATCGAACGCATCACCATTGCTTTTCTCTGATTTGGATTGAAAAGGACGCAAAGCTAAAGTTAGTGCACTTGCTGTAATCAAAAAAATGTTCTCTGCTGGCGTAATACTCTTAAACTCCTCAAAGGCATTACAAATTTTGAGCTTCATCAAGAACTTCCTGATACTCGAGTACATAAAACTGCTTCTACCCATAAAATATATCAATCTTTTCACGGAAATATCAGCTTCTCCAATGTTTTCAAGTTTTAAGCTTTTCCATTGCTTCAAATCAGTTAAAGAAACAACCAAGCGCATTGCTAGAACAATAACTGATATCATCTGGTCATCATCATCGCAAGTGAAATCACACTTAGCAAGAAGAGAAAAACATAATAAGCTAAGCTTTTTTGCTTGGCAAAACCAGGTTGATCTCTCTTCAGCAGTACCAACAGCCAGGGAACAGAAGCTTTTCTCAGCATCTGCAATCCAATATTATGATATTTCAGCTATATTACTAATTAAGCAAGATATATCCTTAAAAAAATGTTTCACATACAATTTTTTTTTTTTTTTGGCAAGAAAATTTATACTATGCCAACTTCATCGTATTCTTGCTAAGCCGCAGGGGTTGGGTTCTTCAAATCCACAGCCAACTTCATTCATTGTATTCTTGAAAAGATACAGGGGTTGGGGTCTTCAAATCCACAGCCAACTTCATTGTATTATTGCTAAGACGCAGGGGGGTTGGGGTCTTTAAATCCACAGCCAACTTCAATGTATCATTGCTAAGACGCAGGGGTTGGGGTCTTCAAACACACCATGCTTAAAAAACTATGCATAGAACTTCCAACACATTGGTGAAAAAATGCACACTACAAAGGGATTTCCCCACCGTGTCAAAATAAGTAATTATAATTGGGTGCGGATAGGCCTTTCTCACCTACACAGTAAAAATATGCTAACAAAGGATTTTTCGCCACATCGGAATGGCGCACATGCCTTTTATGTGGCGATGGAAAATATCTTTGAAAGAAAAAACAACATCTAAAGTCAAGGAATAATGAATAAAGCATTTGCTAGGAACAAGAGATGGAGATCCATCAACAACAATTACATGTGGGAGCATCATTGTAAGTGATGAAAATAATTGTTGGTTACCTATCATATATGGGGATACACTAAATCTAAAATTCAAAACATAGTAAAATGAGCAATTGCAAACAGACCTGAGATGAAAATCACATGAGAGTCATGAGACTGAAATATTGAATGGAGAATGCTGGAGTAGAAAGCATATTCTTCTTAGGGGAGACTTAAATGAACATAAATGAGCACCAATAGACTTGATGATGGTATTGGGAGCTATGCTAAGTAACTGGAGGATAATTAAAATTTTCCAACATCAGGAAAATGAGTAATTAATCCTTAAATAATATTGATAATATGGAAAATATTAGCAACCACAATCACCAACATGACCACCACGTCCATAATTACGATAACTTGTCCACTCTGGCAACAAAAGTAGTCCAATCGTGATAAAACAAAAACATGGGCTCATCGACTAAGAGAATTCATGTGATAACAATGGAGATATTTGGAACAGAAGAATCGAACATCAATTGAGCTTGAAAAAATTATTAAGAAGGGTGAAGACTAGAGAAAATTTTGTCAACAAAAAACTCCGTTTTATTTTTGCCAAGTAATCTAATCAAGGGTAAAGGAGCAATATAGAAGAAGTTCGTCACTTTTTTTTCAAATTGCTATAATAATCTTAAATAAAGTTGTTGCATGGTTACCAAGAGAATATGCTAACATAAAGGGAATATACATACCCTAGAGATTTTACTTTAAAAAATGAAAACGGTTGTGGGTGCATAACGCACCAGCACCCACCCTTGCCAATGAATGGAGGGCAACCAACCCAGCCCGCTACACTTATCAAGGCAATTTTTCAAGCCCAAACAAGACTTTCACGCTTTCTTGAAAACCCAGAGGCCGTTTTTCAAATATCCATATTTGATTTTGGCACATTCAACACTGAACAAAGACTCTAAGACTAGTTTTGAGTAATTTTGAAGATTTTAGAGGAAAGTTCTAAACATTTTTTGCTCCAATTGATGAGTCAACTTTGAGGATAATGAAATTATGATTGGGGAAAGTTAGTTGGTTCGCGACCCTAAAGGAAGGTCTACATTGACATCCAAAGAGTGGACTCGCCTTATAACTTTTCTTATAACTAAGTTATGTGTTGCACATATTTTTTTCGTATGACAAAAATTAGGCTACAGAAATTAGCACGATGAAGAGTGAAATTACTATGGAGAACAATTTACTTGGTTCATGACCCCAAGGAGAGATCCCCATTGATGCACATAGAGTAGTTACGCCTTAAACATTTTTAAAATAATGATTTCATGACACAAATTTTTAAGACCCATATTACTTTTATAGAAGACTTTGATGGCTAAAAATAGGAATAACTGATATAACAGTTTAAAAATCCATCCAATCAAACACAAATCATGACGCGATTATGTGAATAAAAAACCTTCAAGATTGACTTTGGGCCCATTTGAAATATATTTTCAACAAACTTATAATTAAAATGAATATTTAGATAAGAAAAACTTAACAACACTAAAATTACTTTGATTTGAGTCCAAAGGATCCAAAATCAAGCACTCAAAAGTATAGTTTGGAGACTTTGTGACACCGTTTGAGGGGTCAAACAATCTTTGAATATTGCATGCTTACAATAAAAATGTCTCAAAAAGAGATATCCAACAAGCCCAATATCGCTAAATTATGGTGTCATTAAGACACTTAAATGCCTACAAAAGCATGCATGATCAAGGAGATCGATACAAGCCATCCAACAATGTGTATAGGGATGTTGGCTAAAACAACCAAAATAACCTTTCAAAAAACTATAAATCAATCCACATTCTACACATTAAGAGGACCTGGCAATGGAGAACACTTATATTTGAAGAATTGTAGAGCTATGCCCAATAACGACATCATCAACCACCGCAAATATCCAACATCACCCAAGTATCATTTCCTAACTATCATCACCTTCTACCAACAAATGATAGCATGTTCCACAACCCGACCATATCCCAACTATCATCACCTTCTACCAACATATGAAAGCATCTTCCATAACCCGACTACCATCTCCCATCACCAACGTACGTCATCACCTGATAACCGTCTGTTGAACGCCTTCATCTGTCCCCAACAAACAATGATGGCTCATTATTTGACTACCTTTGTTGACCACTGCCTGAAATTAATGTGTGTTTGTATATAAAATCTCTAGCATTTTCAATATTCTCATAGGAAGCCAACTAGGCAATCCATATACTGTGATCTCGCCTTCTTTAATTAGGAAAAAAGGTGGAGTTATGTAATTTTCACTTACAAAGTGGATTATTTCAATTGGTTAAAGTATTTCCCCTTCTTGAGTTTTTCAAATAAAAATTCATATATCACTTGTGAGCTTCTCTTATATATACATACGTGAATCTTAGTGCAATGCTAAAAAAAATACTCTCTACTACGATAAATCTTCTGATCACGCAACAATACTATCCCAAAAGTAGGTAGAATAAAAAATGAATTTTAATAATTAAATTTGTGTAATTTATCACTTTTCTAGTCCTACGTATATCCACTGCTATAAATGACATGTCTAACACATTTCAGCAGTATGCTTTCATATAAGAAGCTCAAGGGCTATTGTTCCCAAAAAGCTTTAGTCTCTGTTCATATACCACAAAAAATAGATAAAACTAATATGAATGGATAGTGAAGATAAATCATAGAAGAAACGATTAGGCTTAGATATGTCACCGTAAATGCAAACGAACTCTATCACCATCATTTTTGTGTATATCACCGTAATAGCAACTCTGCAAACGAACTCTATCACGTATATCCCTGAGGGCATTGTTGTCTTTTCTATTTTTGAGTCTTATGTACGAGGCTATTTATAGCCCCTATGTTTCTCTTTGAAAGTTAATGAATGAATGATTAGAAAAAAACTTTCCCCTTGCTTGAGTTCTTGTGAGACCTTGAGAGTGTTTGAGTGGTGAATCCCTAGGAGAGGGAACTCGGATCACCCACCAACCTTGGAGACGGTCGGGTTCGTGGTTTTACCTTTGTTCTACCTCTTGTTCTTCTTCCTTTCGTAACCAGCTCGCCGACCACCCAACCCCACCTTCCCCAAGCCACCGGCCTTCATAAACTCCCCTCCCTCCACCCGCCGGATTTCCCCATCTTCCCTTAGCCGCCGGCCCTATTCCGCCGTCCTCCCCCTATCTCCCTTCCACACATCAATTCATCTTAAACACTTTCCTTAAATAATTATTCCTTAGTTGGGAAGATTTTAAATTCAAATTTGAAACTATTTGAGTTTGAATTCTTTCCTAAATTAAGAGATTTATTTTAGGAAAGTTTCCAAATGCTTGCCTATTTGAATTTAAATTAAATTAGGATATCTTTCTTCCCTAATCTAATTTCCCAATATAAGGAAGCATTAAAGGCTCCCTAAATTTCCTCCCCTAGCCCCTAAGCCGTTGGCCCCCCTATTAATTCCCTTGGGATTTGTTTCCTAAATCCCACTCTCCACTTAGGGAATTAATTCAAATAGCCTCTTCTCTCCTTGGCCGAAATCTCATAACCCCCACACCTCCTTATTTTCTTTTCTAAAGCAAGCATTGAGATTTGGAAACAAATACCCCACCCTAGCTCCCACTCATGCCGCCGCCCCTACCTCTCTCCATCCCCTTTTAATTAATTCCAAGCTTGAGGACAAATTAAATGATTGATTGGCGCCTATTCCTCCACAAAATCTGAACTTAACTTCTCCCTAAGCCCTCATCCTTTGGCCGGCCACACCACTCCACCCCAACTTCAAGATAAAGAGAAGCTTCCTTTCACTTCGACAGAGTTCAAGGTTCCTACTAATCGTTAGAAGCAATTCTCGTCTAGCATTCATGAATGGCCGATCCCGATGCTGACTACGGACTTGCTTATGATGAACACGGCTTTGTGCACATTCTCCATTCAACCTTCTTTGACGTCAACCCGATGATCGATCACACAGTTGAGGACTACATAGAGCGCATCTTGGACACCTTGGTCGAGGCTATTCAAGAACAACTTGAGATCGTCGAGTGGAGGATTGCAACTGATCCTTGACAAAGGTTTTCTGATCTTCCTTTTCTCATATTTCTTAAATCTAATCCTTTCTTTGTGTTTTGATTATAGTCATGAAGGACGTGTTCGTCCGATTCTGCTAAGCTTAGTAAACGTAGGAATTTGAGTGCACTTTTTTGTTTCTAAATCTTATTGTTATAGTAGGGATTTTTCGTTGAACGTCACTATGTTTGCATGATGTTATTTTCTTACGATATTTTGATGATTCAAATCTCTTGATGTGCAACTTAGCCTAAACGACAGTGACCGCTCTTACGTTTTGATTCTTCATTTTATTTGCTAATAGATTTATTTGTTATTTCTCTAATCAATTAGTTGTGCAAGCTCTTGGTAAGTTCATTGCAAGCATCGTAGTCCTACATCACTATATCAAGCAAATGGTTGGAGTGACAACAATTGAGGAAGGAAATTGAAAAAATTACAATGAGTGAAAAGTGCATCAATTAAACAGGTATAAAAAAATTGTTTCTGAAACTTAGGAAGGAGAAAGGATAAACTTAAGGCAACATGTCTAAACTAATTCGGGAAGAATAAGTTTAATAACTTAAATAACACTCCGCAAGAACAGATGGAAAATCAAAATTCATAAAGCCATAGTTAGGAAGAAGGTAATGATGATGATGAAAACAACTAACTAAACTCCTACATAATTTAGACGGTGAAAGGGTACAATGGGCTATGTTGATGAAAACATTGAAGTTCAGATTACTTGCAGTCCCTCTACAAATTATAGAGGGCACTGAAAAAACATGGGAGCTAGGAGGGTTACTAATGAGGAGTTCAAGATGAGCATGCAAGTGCTGGCCTTGCTCGATCACCGGACATGCACCTTTATAATATCAATCCTAAATTAGCAATGAGAATTTCATGATAATATGAACATCAAAAGAAATGCATGGCATAGCTTTTAAATTAAATTAAAAAAAAAGGAAAAGATGGTGTACCAGTTATGTTTATATTTTGCAAGAGAATTCTGAAACACATAGAGAAGCACTTCACGTCGGCAAAATTCAGTTTTCGATGAGATGCCAGAGAATGACTAGTAAAAAAAAGGAAAGGCCTTATCAAGTTGCTAGAAAGCCAATCAACAGTTTCATGGTTATTACAACCATCTGCCAAAATTTCCCACTCTTCTTGAAGGTGCCCTCCAACCTTTTTAATCTCATAGTATCGCCTCCAAATTCGCTGAATGATAGAAACAGAAAGATTGTGAGATATAAGGAAGAAGAAAAAATCCAGCATTCTGGGGATACATCCAAAACGGCTTGCAATAGATCAGCCAGTTCAAGTTTTATGAAATCATTAAAAAAAAACACTGATATATAAAATGAAGAACACTTTACCAAGTTGTACTACATAGGCGCTCTTAGGTTTAATAATTTTAGCCTTACATAAAGCATGCAATGATCCAAAAAAAAATCAGGACAATTAAAAACAAAATTAGAAATATAGATTTACAAACCTTCTTTCTATTTATTAACTGGAACTCATCATCATCATTTGCCTTGTACCAAGATAATCCCTTTCTAACTTTAATTTTAAATTGGAGTTTGACGTAACCAAGACACATAGCCAATAATATTTGATGTTAAAAAAGGATGTCTAAGGATATAGGATTTCTCCAATACAAATCAAGAATGAGACACAAAATAGGCACACAATGAGAAATTAAACAAGCAAACAAAATCAAAAATCATAATCCACTAAATATTAATTTAGGCAAAGTTTCATCTCTTTGAAACAACAAAAAAACACAAAGAACTCGCTCCAACCAATAATTTAAATATCATCAAAATCATAAATATTCAAAAAAATCTGAGATCTAGTGAAAATCATGCAGCAATTAAAATTTACTAAGAAATAAGTAAGCCAAATTATAGCAAACCTGACCAATCCAGTAATGGTTTTCACCTCACGCTGATACAAGGACAAGATTCCTCTAAAATTTATCAACAATACTTAGAAGCACTGAAGGAATTCACATCCAACAGCAAACACATAAGTTTGAGAGGTATTTTACAAAGCCAATACTTCTTTTTACAAGCCTATAGGCCATCAACATATAATCAAAACTAGACCCATAGTTGACAGCTTCATAAACCCTCTAAAATCTATTTATTACTATTCATCATGATTTAGCAAGCATAAAAAATATGAAGTTACAGCCTTCACAGAAAATTAGTAAGTTTCAAAACCATCAACAATGCAGGATACAGAATCTCCAGGAAAGTAAATTCTGTGTTGATATATTAGGAAAGTCACAAGCTAGCATATCACAGGAAAATGGAAAAATGATATCAGCGAATTAGCGAAGGGAAGGAGGTGTGACATTGTTAAGGAGTTAAAGATGGCTCAACGACAAGCAATCGAGTAGAGGGAAACTCGACACACAGATAAGGAACTCTAGCATGAAAGCAAGACATAAAAAGGCAAAATTAACGAAGTAAATATACAATTCTTCCAAGAACAGAAAGGACAAATGATCTAGAAATACCTTGTCAAGAACAAATTGTTCATTATACTTACTAAAGACGACCTGTCATGCAGTCAATCAAAGCCAACTGCCAAACCGATATATGTGAAAATAGCTACAAGCGTTAATGTCGAATCTGCATCATACCCTATCGCAAGGGAGAGAGACGAGCAGAAGAGAAAAAAAAAAAAAGTTTTACCCTAGTATAGGCGTAGGTTTCTAAGCAAGAACACGCAGTATGCTTAAAAGGAGCAAAATATCTTTGCAAAAATGAAGCGCCAATCACGCAGCATATACAGCAGGTAACAGAACACAAAACATACTGGATCACAATCTCACTTTAAAATTTATCGAATATACGTCAATCCAGTACATCCATGAAAGACGCTAGCCCAAAACTCAACAAATGTTCAAGAACAGCCCTAAGGCAACAGCCGCACCGCGTCGTACGATAGACATAGAGGTGACGAGGGAGAAAGACAGAGAGAGAGCACCTGGATGAAGAGAGCGGCGGCGGAGGCGCGGCGGGTGAAGCTTCGGTGCTCCCGCTCGTGGGCCACCTTCTCAAGAAGGGCATCCCGGGATATTTCCCTGGCGCTGGCCCCGCGGAGAGATACCTGAGAGGCGCTTGAAATTCAAGGGCGTTACAATGGAGAAGACGGAATTTGGATCAAAGAGGGATAGAGACAAAGTGATCTTACTTGTGATTGTTTCCGCGAGGCAGACATGGCGTTCGAGTCGCAGCAGATTTGGCACTCACTGCCCTACTCTTACAGCAAACCTTCAGAAGGAACTTTTATTTGGTCCGACGTACGTAGAGCTACTCTCGGTGGGCACTAAGATTGCAGTCACAAAATAAAAAATATCGAACAATATCAATAATAACGAGAAAATATCATTAGGTGAAGACGAAATATCGAGTTATACCGAGTTATATAGAGTAATACCGAGTTATATAAAAAAATACCAAGAAAAACTCTGTTTTTTTTTGTATAATTCAATATTGCTCGGTATTGGTCTTCCCAGAACGTTATTCCTCCATATTATCAAACAATACCTATTTGGGTAAATATTTCATTTTTTTGTGTTTAAATTTTTAGAAACAAAAAATTTGTGTTTATCTATTTGAATCAAAAATAAATTTTTTAATTAAAATTTAATTGATTGTTAGATAGTAAATGCTCAATGATATTCAATTATTGTAATAATCAATCAAAAATTTTATTTTTCAAAAAGAATGGATTTTTATAAAGAAGTTATTTATGAGTCAATTATTTCTAATCTAATGTAAAATATTATCATTTCAATTTTGAATTAAATATTATCTTTGTTTGGCAATTGCCTAAAAATTCTTATAATAAAGACTAAAAAAAAGATTGAGGGGGATAAATTACCTAAATAACTATATAATAAAAAAAAATATTTTTTTAGGGGGGCAATTAGGACCTAAATAGATTGGAATCGGACTCCAATCTCTTGACACTGATAATTTGGTAGTGTGGAAGTAAATGCAATCAATAAGAAATGTCACAATCTTTATCCAACACATAAGAACGCACTTCTTATAGCATCTTAGGACCTAAATAGTTCGTCCATGCAACAGATGGCAAAATGATGACACTAAGACAAAAATTCTATACTTGATTTAAATCACAAGAGAACAAAACCAACCTACCAATTTTCTAATTATTTAACAAAAAAATGAAAGTTCGTTAGGGTGTTAGGCCCTTATGAACTGGCTCAAGGCTAATAAAGAGAGATGTGAATTGGAAAAGAAGATTCTTAAATCAAAGCACAAACCAAAACCAATATCACCATAATAAAAATCAAATGCGGAAGTAATAAAGAAAGAACACACCGAATTTATAGTGGT